AGCCGAAGTCAGATTTTAAAAGACTTTATTTTTAAGTAATCTGTACACCCAACGTGGGACTCCAACTCTCAATCCCAAGATCAGAGTCACATGCTCTACCGACTAAGCCAGCCAGGCACCCCTGGTTTAACAAGTCTTAATTAACAAAGCCTACCCAACCTCAAGGGTGCTACTAAAAGGGTTCAAAGCCAGAGTTGATGAAAATACTTTCCACTGAAGAGCCTAAGAGGGGTGAGTTCAAGCCCCATGCTGAGCCTAGAGCTTACTTAAAAAAAAAAAAAAAAGGCGGGGGTGGGGGGAACCTGGCTGGCTTAGTCAGACGAGTGTGTGACTCTTGATCCTGGGGTTGTGAATTTGAGCCCCAAGTTGGGCATAGAGATTACTTCGATAAATGATTTAAAAAACTTTAAAAAGAGAGATTAAGAAAGCATATAAGATCCTGTGATAAGCCTTTGAGTTAATTCTGTTTCTGTGGTTGTACTTCTTTTTTCATTTCTTTTTTTAAAAGTTTATTTATTTGGAGAGAGAGAGAGAGTGGAGGAGGGGCAGAGAGCAAAGGGGAGAGATTCTCTAGCAAGCTCCACACTGTCAGCGCAGAGGCAGACACGGGGCTCGTGAGATCATTATCTGAGCTGTAACCAAGAGTCAGATGCTTAACTGAGTCATCGAGGCGCTTCTCTTTTTCATTTCTAATGTATAAATGTGCACTTTGTTTTCGTTTTGTTTTTCTTTACCAGGCTTCATATACCTTGGTTAGGTGTTTATCTTATTGACACCCAGATAATAATAATAATACACATGTACACATATCCTGGCAAAATTCCTGAACCTCATGGGTAACAGGAGAACTGTACAAGTTTTCACACTGAAGGAAGAGGCTATTTTTAAAAAGGAAAGCAAATAAATCTAGCATGAGAATTCTCATCTGCTGCACTGGAAACGAGAAGATGGTGGAATAAATCTACAAACAGAAAAGAAGCTGCAACTAAGAAGCAAAAATCTTATTCCCAGACAAAATGCCATTCATCTTTTAGGGCAGCATAAAGATAATATTAGAAACTCAAGGGCTTGACATATTGCCCCTGGATGCTAGCTGAGGAAAATCCTCAAAGTTCTCTAATCAGTTGATAATTATATTAGAAAAGAGATCGTTATATTGGGTGGTTGAATAGTACAGTATTTGTGAATAATTAATTTTGTAATAGAGTTATATCTTTTTTCCTTCTTTTCCCACCAGTTTTAATTTTTTCATTTTCTTTTAAAAATATATTAAAAATCTTTATCTTTGATGTTTATTTATTTATTCATTTTTAAAGTAATCTCTACGCCAAATATGGGGCTCAAACTCAGAGCCCCCAGATTGAGTCACGCTCTTCCAACTGAGTCAGCCAGGTGCCCCTATTTTTTCGTTTTCTTTAAAAAAGATTTAATTATTATTATTATTATTTTTTTTTAATATTTTTATTTATTTCTAGGAGAGAAAGAGAGAGACAGCGTGAGCAGGGGAGGATCAGAGAGAGAGGGAGATACAGACTCTGAAATACGCTCCAGGCTCTGAGCTGGCAGTCAGCACAGAGCCCGATGCGGGGCTCGAACCCATGAACCGCGAGATCATGACCTAAGCGAAAGTCGGACGCTTAACCGATTAAGCCACCCAGGCGCCCCTAATTATTATTTTTTAATGGATAATTTATTCATTCAACATTTTGACTGCCAGGGTCAGTAGCAACTCTTAGACAAGGCAGTTACGATATTCATGAGATAAGAAGCACATGGTGTAAATGTTCCGTAAAGAGTTTTCAAATAGAAGATACTCTTGGGCGTCTGGGTGGCTCAGTCGTTAAGCATCTGAGTTTGGCTCCAGGCATGATCTCACAGTCGGTGAGTTCGAGTTCCACATCGGGTGAGCATGAGCCCTGCTTTGGGTGAGCTCCAGCCCTGCTTTGGGTAAAAACAGGAGCCATGGATGAGCCCTGCTTCTCTCTTTGTCTCTTTCTCTCTCTCTCTCTCTGCCCTTGGCTCACTTACACTGTCTCTCTCTCTCTCTCAAAAAAAAAAACAAACAAAAAAAGATACTCTTAAGGGGCGCATGGGTGGCTTAGCTGGTTAAGTGTCCAGCAACTCTTGATTTCAGTTCAGATATTGATCACAGGGTCATGAGTTCAAGCTCCACACAGTAGGGAGACCAGTGAAAAAAATATGCATGTAAGAGGAGTTGAGCATGAGAATGGGATGGGAAAGTGAGGAAGTAAAATTGCAATTTCTAAACTTTTTTTGGTAAAGATTTATTCATTTATTTATTTATTATTTACTTATTTAAGTAATCTCTACAACCAATGTAGGGCTTGAATTCATGACTCTTGACATCAAGGGTCACATGCTCTATGAACTGAGCCAGCCAAGCACAAACTTTTAAAAAAAAGTATACTTATTTTATCTTACTTTTTAATATTTATTTTTGGAGAGAGAGAGAGCACAAGCAGGGGAGGTGCAGAAGGAGAGGGAGACACAGAATCTGAAGCAGGCTCCAAGCTCTGTATGGGGCTCGAACCCACGAACTATGAGATTATGACCTGAGCCAAAGTCAGACACTTAATCGACTGAGCCACCCAGGCACCGTTCTTTATTTTGAGAGAGAGAGAGAGAGAACGCACATGAACAAGGGAGGGGCAGAGAGAGAGAGAATTCTGAGCAGGCTCCATACTATGAGCACAGAGCCCAATGTGGGCTTGAACCCACCTACCGTGAGATCATGACCGGAGCTGAAATCAAGAGTCTGATGTCCAACTGACTGAGCCACCAGGTTCCCCCAGAGAAGATAAATTTAGGGGCGTCTGGGTAGCTCAGTCAGTTGGACGTCCGACTCGATTTCGGCTCAGGTAATGATCTCGAGGTTCATGGTTTGAGCCCTGCGTTGGGCTCTGTGCTGACAGCTCAGAGCCTGGAGGATGCTTTGGATTCTGCGTCTCCCTCTCTCTGCCCCTCCTCCGCTCATGCTGTCCTCTCTCACAATAAATAAACATTAAAAAAGAAAAAAGTTAAAAGACTGACAATACTGAATGTTGTGAGGCAACTGCTACTCTCCCACATTGCTAGCGGAGTGCAGAATGGTACAGCCGCTTTGCATAAGTGGCAATTCGTAAGAACATAATCTATGACCCAGTAAGTCCACTCCCATGTATATAGTGGAATGAGTTCACAAAAAGACTTGTATACAAGAGTAAATGTAAATGGCTGTTTTATTCATAATTGTCCTCAAATTGGAAACAACCCAAATGTCCATCAACAGAGAATAAACTGCAATGTACTTACAAGTCAAATATTAGGTAGCAATTAAGAAAACAATTGATACACCAAACAGCTCGGATGATTCTCAAGAACATTATGCTGAGTGAAACATGTAAGACATGAAAGAGTACAAGATGTTTTTAAATTTTTTTTTAAATGTTTCTGTTCGAGAGAGAGACAGAATGTGAGCAGGGGCAGAGAGAGAGGGAGACAGAGAGTCCAGAGCAGGCTCCAGGCTCTGAGTTATCAGCACAGAGCCCCATGCGGGACTCAGAACTTGAACCCACAAACTGTGAGATCGTGACCTGATCCTAAGTCAGACACTTACCGACTAAAGCAACCAGGCGCCCCTTTAAAATGACTTTCAAGAATAGATAAAATTAACTTATGTGATAGAAGTCAGGATAGTAACCTTCTATTTCTTTTATGCTAGAGAAGCTCTCCGGAGTGCTGGAAATGCTCTTTCCATAGCCTTTGCTCTTAAAATATCTGCATTTTGCTGTTTTAAACTATATGTACCCTCAATAAAGAAAATAGGAAAAATTGAAACTATAGATTATCTGGAAATTTTTAAGTGTTTGAGAAAACACATTTCATATGAAACTCTAAAGGATACAGCTAAAGCCATACTCAGAGGAAAATGTATAGTCATTAATATTTTGCTTACCACAAATACTAAAAATAAACTATTTAATTCAATAAACTATTAAACTAATAAGATAAAAATAGCGTTCATAAAGAGGAAAGTTGAAATTAAGGAAGTAGAAAATAAAACAGTAGAAAAGTGAGTAAAAGAAAATGTTATTTCTTTGAAGGTAGGAATAAAATAGAGTAAGGAACAGTTTAGAAAATACCTGGGCACCCTCCGCGGTTCCTGTGATTTTTGTCTTGAAATTTTGGTGCTGTTTCCCTAACAGTGGGATTCGGTGCTGTCCATTCATTTACTAAATTAAAAAATAACAACAACAAAACAATCTGTTGGGGCACCTGGGTGGCTCAGTCAGTTGCTTGTCTGACTCTTGGTTTCCGCTCTGGTCATGATCTGACGGTTGGTGGGCCGGAGCCCCCCGCGTCTGGCTCTGCGCTGGGAGTGCAGAGCTTGCTTGGGATAATCTCTCTCCCTCTGCCCCTCTCCCCAGCTTGCGCTCTCTCTCAAAAAAAAAAAAAAAAAAAAAATTAATAAAATCTGTTGAACGTGGATATCCTCAAGACACAGTTTTATAAGAGGCCAGGTTTAAGAGTCACGATTTCAGCTGCTATTTGTCTGGCAGACGGCAGGGGCCTGGCGTTTACACGCACGAGCTCATTCCAGGTGCACGGTGACTCCTGCAAGGTAGGCACTGCCCTCCCCTCGGAGACGAAGTTACTTACCCCGGGCGGGCCGCTCGGATGTGGCTGTGAATTCCGGGCTGACCCTGGACTCTCCGGGTCAGGAAGGTAGGGAATCAGAGGAGACGGAGGCGCCTCCGCAGGTGCCAGTGGGCTCTGGGTGTCGCGAGCGGGGGCCCGAGGCGCGGGCCCCTTACACCTGCAGGGAGGAGCCGGCAGGTGCAGGCCCCGAGGCGGGCGGGGTCTGTAACTTGCAGCCGGGGCGCGGCGGGGGCGTCGGCAGGTGCGCGGGCCGGGGCCGCGGCCGCGGGTGCAGCGCCCTCTGGGCGGGCCGCTGGGCTGGCGGGCGGGGACGCGCGCGGGGCGGCGGGGACGCGCGGGCGGCGAGGCCTGCGCGCCCGGCTGCGGGAGCCATGCGGCGGGCGAGGAGCGGCGCGGCCGCCAAGCCCCGCGCGCAGAAGCGGCCGGGAGCCTCCGGGCCCCCCGCGGCCGCCCCCGCGGCCCCCAGGGCCAGCCGCTCCCGGCGCTCCTCGGGCCAGGCCGGGGGCGAGAGCCGGCCGGCGGCGAGGCAGCCGTCGGCGCAGCGGCGGCCGAGGCAGTCGTCGCCGCGGGCCCAGGAGGCGGGCCCCGGGCAGCCGCCGCCGGAGCTGCCGCCGCTCCCGCCGCCGCCGCCGCCGCCGCCGCCCCCCGTCTCGCCGGCAGCCTCGCTGCCCGACCTGGGCGACCAGCGGGAGCGCTGGGAGACGTTCCAGAAGCGACAGAGGCTCACCTTCGAGGGCGCCGCCAAGCTGCTGCTGGACACCTTGTGAGTGCGGCCGGGCCGGGCGCGGGAGCCGGCGCCACGCGGGCGCCCTCGGCGCGGGGCGAGTTGTCGGCCCCGCGTCTTCCCCGCACGGCGACCCGCGCGTTCCTCGGTGTCAGCGCCGGGCGCGTCCCCGACGCCGTGGCGGGGGCGGGCGGGCGGCCCTGGGCTCGACGGGGCACGGCGTCCCGGGGCGTGAGAAGAGCCGCGCCGCGACCTGGGACACAAAGGGTCCTTCCCGGGCACAGCCATGGTGCTCGGACGCTGTCCCTCGTCTGGGCGCGCCGAGGTTGCGGGGCCTTTCCCAGTGGGGAGATGGTAACCCCCACGACTTTGTGCTCACACCCGGCTGGCTTTGTATATTTGCGCACGTGTTTTTGTTTTTTTTTTTTTCGGGGGGGGGGGGCGGTGCAGGGAGAGGTCGGCGGGTGGGGAGAAAAGCTGGGATGGTTTAGCACCAACCGGGAGGCGAGATCCCGTTATTGTTCCAGGCGCGCCCTGGGAGGGGCGGGGGAGGGGGCATTGAGCCCGGGGAGAAGCGCGCACGGGGAGATGCTCGGCCTCCGGGACGGCTTCGCGGGTACCCGAGCCGAGGGAGGGAGGCCTCGGTGCCCCTGGGCGGCTCGCTCTCCTTCCTGGAGGAGAGGAACCTCAGGTCCCGAGATGGACGGGCCCGGGGACGATTTCAGAGTGTCCGTGATGTTAGACATGAGCTATGAACTCCGGCGGCGGCTGCCGGAGCATCTGGTCCCTGCCCTGAGGACAGTTGTGCAGCAGAGCACTATTTTAGCACCCTAATAATCAGTCTCCGTGTCCATGATCTTCTGAATCACAAAGAGCGGTCACAACCACGGAAAAAAACCAGGACGACCCAACAATTGCATAACAACCCGAGGGTTACTCGTTTTCTTGAACAAAAATGTTCTTTTGTCCTTAATCCAGAAGAAATTAGGATGCGCCTTCTCGGAAGTGAACTCTTTGGTTACCTGTGTGTTTCGCTTTCTGATTTATCACCTTGGACTGCAGGCTGAACTTTTTAAAAAAAATCATCAGTAAACATTTTTGAGCCCCCCGTTCCATTTTTGTGCCGCCCGTTGCTAAGTGCAGGGGATGTAAAGACCCGCTGAAATGCAAAGCTCAAAGTTGAAGTAGATTTTGAGTTTAAAACAAACTTGATAAATGGTCAAGAAAATGATTTTGAAATGTTGATAACAGACGAGGTTTTTGTTTTTCTTATCAGATTGGTTTGAGTGCATACATGTATTATATATAAAAAAAAAAACAAAACTCACTGAATTTACTTACTTGCAAAAAGAATGCATAACCCTGCACTTTGTTTTGTTAAAATATTATTGTATAGAAAGAAGCCTGGAGGAATATGTTGCAAATAGCTAACTGTGGATTCCTCTGGGTATTAAGATTATAGGAGACTTTCTTGTTTAACATTATCAAATGTTGTAATGTTTAAATTTTTTTTTTACAATGAGCATTTTGTGTATGCAGAGAAGATTTTAAATACAAGTTCACTGATTCAACTTGTAAAGAAACGTGGAAAAACATTCAGGCTCAATAACCAAAAAAAAAAAAAAAAAAGTAAAAGTAAAAGTAAACTGCTGCAAGCTGTTTTTCCTGCAATTACTGCTTGAACAGGTACAGTGAAAGGTTTCCTCATTCCCGAGAAGTGTCCAGCCCTTTTGGAGCACAATTTGATGTTATTTATCAAATTTAATGGAGGTTAATTAAGGGCCTTGGCTTATATATGTTTTTTTTTAATTTTTAATGTTTTATTTATTTCTAGGAGAGAGAGAGAGACAGCGTGAGCAGGGGAGGGTCAGAGAGAGAGGGAGTCACAGACTCTGAAACAGGCTCCAGGCTCTGAGCTGGCAGTCAGCACAGAGCCCGACACGGGGCTTGAACCCACGAACCGCGAGATCATGACCTAAGCGAAAGTCGGACGCTCAACTGACTAAGCCACCCAGGCGCCCTGGCTTACGTATGTTTTAAAGAGATTAAAATAGTATGTCATGTGGGGCGCCTGGGTGGCTCAGTTGGTTAAGCGTCTGACTCTTGGTTTCAGCTCAGGTCGTGATCTCACGGAGGGCAGGGCGGGTTCAAGCCCCACATCTGGCTCTGCACTCACAGTATGAAGCCTCTCAGAATTCTCTCTCTCCCTGTCTCTCTGCCCCTCCCTCGTTCATGTGCTCTGTCTCTCTCAAAATAAATAAATAAACTTAAAAAAATATATATGTAATGTGTATGTATAGCTCTGTAATGATTCCTGTATATGCAAAGTACTGGTGGGGAATATAGCAACAGTCCAGAATTCTTCTCAGAAGAAGGCTTTTCCCAACTATCAGATTCAGGTCCCCTCATCTTACTTTTTCTTAGTGGCCTGTCCTGCCTTTATCTCAGTCCCTTAAATACTACTTGGGTCATTTCATTTCTTTGATGGCTGCCTCAGGTTGCCTGGGCCAGGAGCCTTGTCCCCTGTATCTGGCCTCCTGGTCTCTCCCTGGTGTCTAGCTCATAAAAAAAAAAAAAAAATCGAGGTAAGTCTTTGACACGTAAAGACAAATTGCTTGAGTGGTGGGATCAGGGTCCTCCACCCAAGTCCCATTTTGCGTATTTTTGAACATCTCATTTTTGCAACTTAATAGAATATAAGAAATTTTTTAAAAGATGGCTCATGGAAAAGACCTTTGTAAAAGGCCTTTCTTTTCTAACACCGCCAGGACCTCCTCAAGAGAAGACTTTTGTCCCATCCTGCTTCCTTCTTCCAACAGGGAGAGAGAGAGAGAGAGCGAGCGAAAGCGTGAGCTGTGCAGTAAGGTCCCGCCTGACTCTTCAGAAGTCCTTACCTTTCTGATCTTGTGTTTCCTGTAGCGAGTACCAGGGCCTGGTGAAGCATACCGGGGGCTGCCACTGCGGAGCGGTTCGTTTTGAAGTTTGGGCCTCGGCCGACTTGCACATCTTTGACTGCAAGTGAGTTTTCTCTTCCCAAGTTGCTTGAAGGGACTTGAGCGTTAAAACATCGCCTGGGGAGTTAGGGGGCCGAGCAAACGGCACTGGCCGCCAGCCTGTCCGTGTTGGCGTCCGGTGATGGGTACATACGGGTTCGTTCTGGTCTTTTTCCCCTTCGTATATACTGGAGGGTTTCAGTAATGAATTTTTTTTTAAACATGGGGGGAGGCTAAAAATAACTGAGCCTGCTCTGTGAGAGAGAGTGCACAAGCGAGCTCACTCCTACAGTACATTCCCGGGGGACACAGAGCAGAGCCCCCCCATCATCACACCTCAGACTGTACCACTGGAGGGCTGGCTGGAGCAGTCAGCTGGAGATGGGTCAGGCTGGGCACTGAATGCCGAGTCTTGGTTGGGCGGAGTGTTCACAGGAGTCTGGGGGGTGGTGAGTGGGGGGATATGAGTGGAGGCTGTGCACACCTGGAGGCTTCAACGCTCCAGGCCCTCTGGCTCTGTTCTAGAAGAGGCAGACAGTCCCGGCGGGATCCACAGAGGGCCTGCTTTTTAGCACCTTCCCAGGCCTTTGTCATAGAGCAAGGACCACAGGCCATGACCTCTGAACCAATGGTTAGCCTGTAACCAGTTGTTCAACAGGACCTGGTCTTTTTTGCCCCCTCGATGGTGCAGTCCCTGAATCACGCAGGAAGATAAATGAATACCACGGAATTACTCACATGGAGAACTGACCAGGCCACTAACAGCAGAGTCCAGATTGGAGAGGAAGCACCGTGGGGACAATTTGTTAGAGACTTCTATATGAAATTAGATATTTTTTTTTTCAAAGGTGGACTGAAAGGGGGATTAGACTTGATTCTGAAGATGGTCATTCTGAGGATTCATCTGACTCGGAGCCAGGCTTTCTGGGATATACAGATGGGGAGAGCAGGAAACCCAAACCACCCTGTCCGCTCTAGGTGTGGGTCTCCCAGAGGCATAAGACTGTACCCACGCCTGACATTTGTTTTCCAAGTGTCTTTAGAATCCAGCAGCTCCTTCACTGTAATAAGCTTGGGAGGTGGGGAGGCAGCAGGAGCATCCGTGATGGTCCTGGTTTTCCGAGGGGTGCGGGGCTTTGACCACTGAGCTGAGGCCCCCAGTGGCCCGTCCCATCTGCCTGAGCTCCCCTTTCCCTGAATGGTGCTGACAGGCACTTTACCTCTGGGATCAGCCGGCTCCCAGGACATCCTGGGCGGTGGGGGGCCCTTGGGCACTCAGACCGCATTGCTTGTTCACAATCTTTGCTTTATTTTTGGTAGCTGCAGCATTTGCAAGAAGAAACAGAATAGACACTTCATTGTACCGGCTTCTCGCTTCAAGCTCCTGAAGGTGAGTGCTAAGGGCAGGGGCGAGGGGCCCCTGACTCACA